AAGAGCTTCTAATGTGGCCATGCTACTGCGCTTGCACCTGACAGTGTGAACACACGGCAGCGCTTTCCCTGCTGCTGTCTCTAAGGGCCGGTTTAATTCCTGGTGCTCTACATCGGCAAGTGTAGCCAAGCCCTAAGTAAAAGGCATGATAATGACTTCAAAAAGTTTTTACCCTCCCTAAATCTGACTATCCACTTAAAATCTGAGGCTCTTTGGGAGTGAATCACAATTAAATTGCCTCTACCTTAATTTGATCTCTTGGATGCTTTCTGGGCTTGGTCTGTCAATCATGCTGCTGCTATAAGAAATGTCCTAGCTTAGTTTTCTGCTGGTGGAACAACACTACCTGTAGAGATGGCGGGGAAGAGGTTCTGGCTCCCTGAGGCTAACGTTGGGAAGGGGCACGGTCTGTTAAGGTCATCTTCCAGAGCTGGTGTTTTATGGAGCATCCTCCTTGAGCAATGGACGTACTGGGTTGGGTCAAGCCTAAAAGCAGAAAAACCTTCAAAATCTGAAAGGGATGTTGCTTCAAATGTTAAAATGCAATGTTAAGTACCTTCCAAATGGCTACATAGCTTTTGAAGGGGATCCGAGACAACTTTTAGTGAAGACTCCCTTCAGTGTAAACTTTAATTTTCATGTTGACATTCTTTGCTTCAGCAATACCTTGTCATCCACCTCCTCCTATCACCAATGGATCCCATAATGGTCAGAGTGAACAACAGTTTTTCTATGGCTCAGCAGTAACTTACAAATGTGACCGGGGCTTCTCTCTTATTGGAGAGGCCACCATTCATTGTACAACAAAAGATAATGTCGATGGAGAGTGGAGTGGGCCTGCCCCTGAATGCAAAGGTTAGTAGCATCTGTTTTTATCACCTTCTTATTCTACTATCTCCTCCCATGAAAAGCTATATTTTGATTGCTAAGTAAACCCAAAACCTGGAGAAATTCAGTTAGTGCTTAGTCCCCCTAAATACTTATCATGAAAACTAGTTACTGTTGGAAAACTAAAGAATGACGGACACTTCATAAATCATTCCTGGAAACAGTTTTGCCTTAATATGTCCTGTATTTTTTGTCTCTTCAGTGTTCAAATATTGCAGTTAATTCTCATGTCACAAACGGTTGATTTTCGGTGGAGTTAAACTCTTGAACTAAGGTTTTGCTTTTATGCCAGTGCCCTACTACTCAGTGCTAAAGGGGAGAGGAAGGAGAGAGAGAGCCTTAGAAGCAGGATTGTTTGAGAACCATATTTTTCAGAACTCTCTGGGAGGGCTCCTTGACAGTGAAGGCTCAGGCCTCTGTGAGTTCATCTCACAGCCATAAAGTTCTTAGGAGGGGGAAATAAAGGTCATTGTACAATCCTCATTTGGGCGATGGCAGTGCTCCCGCACACTATTGCATTTAGCTAACAATGCATTTATGTACTTGGTATTCAAGCAGCTGCAACAACTTGCTTTTATTCTTGCAGAGTTACCCAGCGTAACAGCTGGGATGGAGGCTTTTTCAGAGGCATTAGGCAGGTTGGTCACCTGGCTACTTAATATTAACTCTCCCAAAAGCAGTAAAGTTCAGTTCCAGAATGTCATTGAATGTAGGTCACTTATAGCTTGACCCAAATTCCTGATTCAATTCACTGTGGGATGGGGGGGGGGGGGGAGAAGAGATGGGCCTCATAGCCATACAGTTGGGTGCTGTGCTGTATGTAGACTAACATCTTTTTAAAGGGAAAGATTGAAAGTTGTGTAACTTTATTTCAAAATACATTTTCATATCTGCTGTAGTCAAGTATCGAGGCTTTTTCTTAGTTCCTCTAACTGCTTCCTGTGCAAAACATTCTTATGCTGGTACTTTTAATTTTTCAGTGGTCAAGTGTCCAGAGCCTGAAGTCAAAAATGGGAAAAAGCAATCTGGGTTTGGACCTGACTATTCATATGGAAATACCGTAATATTTGAATGCGATTCTGGCTACACTCTGAAGGGTAGCAGTTTAGTTAAATGTGAAGCTAACAATTCATGGGTTCCATCTTTGCCCACCTGTCTAAGTAAGTATAAGCAATTGTGTTGAGTCTTTTATTTGCTAATATTTAGGAAGCTTATTGCTTTTGAGTAGCCATGTTAGAATGATGTACAGTTTGAGTGTCTGTGTCCCTTTTTTTGTCATAGGCATAACACATACTACACCTACAACACCTACTACACCTACAACTTCCCCTCCAGGAGGAACAGAAGATACTTCAGGTGTGTTGGAAGAACTTTTGGCTATTTAAAGCTTCCAGACATTTAGCATGTAGCTTCTACAAGACTGAAAATGGAAGTGTGAATTTCACACAGTACATTTCATCTCTAAGTTCTGGAATTTTGTCATTCACAATCACTACTATAAGCAGTGTTCTTTCTCAGGTTTTAGAGCACAACCTATTTATTCTTATACCCTTCCTTGCATCCTCTTCTCAAATGCACTTGAAACAGCTTACTAGCTGTCCTGAGCTGTGAGCATGTGTAACTTTCCTCATGAGGGCCCATAGGGTGATGCATTCAGGAGAGGTTTAGCAGTTCCCACCTGAGGTTAGTGATGCATTTGAGCAACAAGGAAATGGTACCCATTGGAGCCGTGCATGTGCCCTGAGCTGCCTCATTCCCCTACCAAGCTGCCCTAGCTCCCATCAGCTATTTCTCACTGCCTATGGTAAGTAGTCAGTCTCCAGTGAGCCCTGCTCACAGGATTTTTCCTCTAATGAATTTGTAGCACCTGTTAGGATTATTTTCTTAAATATTTTCTTGGTTTCTCATCCAGGCAGTTGCTCAGAACCAGAGTGTTAGCATGCAGAAGTCTCCCAGTTTTATGCACTGTTGCATTGGCAGGCTAGCAATACCCATTAGTTATCCATCTTCCTGGCACTTGAAGTATCTGGGAGGGGGTCATATCAGAGAAAAGTGCCAGATATGTAGGGCCTTCAAAAAGAGGACCCAAAAATATGGAGGTGAGGTTGCTAGACTTCCTTATGAATAGTCCTTTGAGACCTGCCCTGGCTCAAAGTTCTCTGTTACTGTTATGAGACCTACAACCCAGAGAGTTGGTGACTCCAGTACCAACCACTGTGCTGTTGAGACCAGTACGTCTATTATTTTGGGCTGGGAATCACCTCCACTTGGCACAGCTGCTCCCAGAGGTTCAATCAGCATTGTTGGTACCGAAGACATTACAGAATCATAGATTATTAGGGTTGGAAGGGACCTCAGGAGATCATCTAGTCCATGCTGCAGCTTAAGATCTCCTGTGCTAGTTGGTGCCAGATTCTCTGTTTCTCCAGACTGCTGTGCAGGTTGCTGCATCAGTCCTATGCATAATGCTTGCCTGGACACTGGTCTCGATACCATCTCTGGTACAATTGGCCCCGGCAATATTTGCCTAGGTCTGATCAATGGAGAGACCACCATTACTCTGCTAGCTTCCAGTTCCTCCGTAAGTACTAGGGCACAGGCACTGGTCGGTGACACACACACACACACACACACACACACACACCGCTCTAAGACTTTGCCTACGATTGCTGGGACATATGATGGATTCAAGAGTTCTCCCTACATATAAATGCCCTGGAACTTGAGGCAATCTTCAGAGCTTGTCAGTGTTCCTACCCTATATCAAAGGCAAGATGGTTTAAGTCCTATTGGAGAACACCACGGCAGGCTTTTACCTAAACGAACAAGGGTATGCCGGGTTCACCCAGCAATTCCAGAAAGAAGTCAGTCTTTGGAATTCGTGTGTACAGAATGCAGTAACATTCAACACCTCCCAGCTTCTTGGGATACAGAATTGCCTGGCAGAACTCCTTACCAGATCATTCAGGATGGATCACAAATGGTCTCTGAAAACTAAGAGAGATCAATATTCCAGTCTTAGGTCCTCCATGGAAGTTCCCCATGCGCTGCAGAGCAGGAAGTGCCATCAGTTCCGTTCCAGAGTGAATTACGGTCTGGGATCTCTCACGGATGCATTTCTGGTCCCAGGGAACATCCAATGTACTTCATTTACTTCTCCAGCCTCTTGCATCTGAACTCTTAACCAGACCATTGACTTGCCTTTTATTTGGATAAGACTCCACATCTTTTGCATAAGCAGAAAGGATGAAGGGGCAGGCAGTTTTAGCCCCAACCATCCCTAACTGGATTACGACCTGCATAGTCATGTGTTAGGATGCTGCTAAATCCATACCACCTTCAAAGGTTTCAGCGCACTCCATAAGAGCACAAGCCGTCTCAATAGCCCTTTTTGAGGAATGTCCCTGTGTTGGACATGTGCAGAGCTGCTCCTTGTTTCTCAGTTCATACTTTCACCAAGCATTATGCCATCACGATAGCTTCTACCTTTGTGAAGGTGTTTCCTACAATCCCACTTTACATTGACTCTGAGCCCCAACTCCATTGTATACTGACTGGCATCCCTACAGAAAATTCTCTGGCTCAAGTGTCTGAGGCATGTGCACACTTAACATGGAATAAACATGTGCAACACGTCTTGAACAGTTACAGCACAGTTGAGTAACCATTTCCCCACTTATACTTTGTTCTGTCTGCACAAACTCTCAAACAACTAGCTGTTTGGGATGCTTACTTGCTTAGTGAAAATAAGCAATGAAACCAGTCCGAGGGAACATCAAAAAATGGTCTGTTTAGTAGAGTTTGTGGAAGGCTAGCTGAAACTGCATTGGAAACTAAGAAGACCTTCGATGGCTATAAAGAAAGGGTTCTTTGTAGCCATGATAGAAGGGTGATTGCCTTCTGTGGTAACTGGCTATGTGGATATGGGGAAAGCATGATATATCTTGACTTTAGCAAAGCTTTTGACAGTCTCCCACAGTATTCTTGCCAGCAAGTTAAAGAAGTAGGGTTTGGATGAATGGACTATAAGGTGGCTAGAAAGCTGGCTAGATTGTCTGTCTGAATGGGTAGTGATCAACAGCTCAATGTCTAGTTGGCCGATGGTATCAAGTGGAGTGCCCCACGGGTTGGTCCTGGGGCCTGTTTTGTTCAACATCATCATTAATGATCTGGAGGATGGTGTGGATTGCATCCTCAGCAAGTTTGCAGATGACACTAAACTGGGAGTAGTGGTAGATACACTGGAGGGTAGGGATAGAATACAGAGGGACCTAGACAAATTAGAGGATTGGGCCAGAAGAAATCTGATGAGGTTCAACAAGGACAAGTGCAGAGTCCTGCACTTAGGAAAGAAGAATCCCATGCACGGCTACAGGCTGGGAATTGACTGGCTAAGCAGCAGTTCTGAAGAAAAGGACCTGGGGATTACAAGGGACAAAAAGCTGGATATGAGTCAGCAGTGTTAGGGTTACTATACATCCAGATTTCCCTGGACATGTCCGGCTTTTTGATGCTCAAATCCCTGTCCGGGGGGGATTTCCAAAGAGCCGGATATGTCTGGGGAAATAGGGAGCCCAGCTGCCCCAGCTACAATGCTCGGGGGAGGGGGCTCAGGCTTCCCTCGTGGGCGGGGACCCGCGGCCACTGGGGGACCCTTCCTGTGGCCCCGTTGCCCCGCGCAGCTTGGAACCCGGCGCCGCGGGAGCTGTTTCCGGCGGGAACAGATAGGCCGGGGAAAGTGCTGTGGCCGGGACTGCAGGGACCCGCGCTGCCGAGCGTCTGAAGCCCTCAGCAGGCAGAGGCTGCCGGGTGAGCAGGGAAGCAGGACAGGCGGGGGCACAGAGGCTGCAGGCGAGGGACGCAGAGGCTGTAGGGTGAGTGGGGAGCGAGGGGGCACAGAGGCTGCAGGGGTGGGGGGGTGCGAGGGGCTGCGAGGGCGAGTGAGGAGCGAGGGTCACGA